GCTTCAGTTTGCAGGGCAAGAAAACGAATCAGGCATCGTCTCATGAGACTGTCAGTGATTATCAGGGGTTAAAATTTAAAAAAAAAGATGCAAACACAACTACAAACCCCAGATTATAAGCTAAATAAACCTTATGGACTGTTTGAAAGTATAAAAAAGGGGGAAATAAAAAGATAAAAAGAAAAAATATGGCGAATGCCAGTGGTTCGTTTTAAGGCTACCTGCGTCTTTCACTCCCTGACATGCAGCTCACTCTAATAAATTAAAAGTGGATGTTGATTAAGCTGGCTCTATTCAGACATACAGGCACTTTTTACTGTTTTAAAGCAAATATTATAAAAAGAATGAACTGATTTTTTTTCTGAAGCATAATTTCAGGTGCGGTGGGCATGTTTGTATTTAGTCTGTTCCTTGAGAAGCATTCTATCTGTGAAAAGTGCAAAATACCTTTTTTGTTCATGTATAATACGATCTCGAATATGATCATCATTGTATAATACTACCCCCCCCACCCCCACCCATTGATGATTTTTGGGGTTAAACATCCAGTATTATACAAGAATAAATAGAGTAAATAACATAATTACTGTGTGCATACAGCAGGTCAAAAGTAAGAGATAACTTGGATTTGAGTCTGAAAAAAAAACCCACACCAAATGTGTCAGCTTTGACCATTTTTAAGGTCAAATATGAAGGTAGAATCCAAATATCATTCCTTTACTGTGCTTCATAATCTATTTAATAAATACAGATGGCCCCAAAGTGTTTCCCATGCACATTACTCTTCCGTCCAAACGTTGCAACGTTTGATTAACTTTGAGCTAATTTGCTTTTGCAGAAGTTCTTGGTTAGTGACTATGAAGCATGGGATAAATAATAAATCGAACATCTCATTTTACCATGTTGCGTTCTTCAGCAAGGCAGGCAGAAACAGCTTGAAAAAGCCTCAAACAGTTACTGTGTAAAATCAGAATGTTTGGTCTTAAAACAATCTTGAGCAGCAGAAGGTTCTGTTGGTCTTTTCTGTTTAGGTTTAATGGAGATATGACATTTTGTTGGTTTTGAAAAAAAAATTGAGGTGAAACACACCTGAGCTTAGGGAAGTTTATGCACAAATGAGGTGATCTGAGTAAAACAGAAGTGTGAGACATATTGCATGAAAGAAGACAAAAACGTCTCTGTTTTGATGTATAATTTGTGTTTGGACCAAAAAGACACACAAGTTATGAGACAATTTATGTCGGGACATCATTAACGTCTGTAAAACTGACCAAACTCAAACTGGAAATGTCATAATGCCAGTTTAAACTTTGAATTATATTCATACTGTGAATTATATCTAGTTCCAATGGGTTGGGTTTTCTCTCATGTTTTACCAAAAACCTGTTTATTTCCATTTTTTATCTTACAGAAGCAAAGAGTAAAAAACTGAGCAAGAACAAAATCAACACATGGGCCGTTATTTACATGTCCTCTGTGACTGATTGTTTTACATATAGGCTTTTCGAGCAAAAACAGTCTGCCCGACAGGACCAATCCCAACCACGCTTTCACAAAATTCAATCCGAGCGACCTTGATTAAAACTTCTGCTGCTGACATGTTCAGCTGATGAATTGTAAACATTTATAGGGGCTGTGAACCATCATAAACAGCTGGATGAAAATGAAAAAAAAAATTTCAGTCGCACCCAGGAGCTGGTTTCTTCTGAGCAAAGATCCTCGTTTGAGCTCATTGAGGCTCAGAAATGCTGCTCACTCACTTTCATTTATCTCAAAAAGCTTGATTTTTAGAAGTTTTGTGAAACATAGATGCAGCGTGTTGATGATTTGTTTTCAACCGCCTCAAACCTGAAATAAATATGTGTTAAAACAAAACAAGCTCCAACAAAAAAAGCCAGATTTCTGACATTTTATCTGTTTAAAATCAGGTTGCTTGATCGAGCACAGCTAATGCTTCCCAGTGGAAGATATACCCGTTTTGATTTTTTTTTCTTGCTCAATAAATTTCTCTCCCTCTAGGGTGCAGATAGATTTCATAAACCTGAAAACCACCAATGCAGTGCAGCTGTGAGCCTGCCAGTCTAATAGATACTGGTAATTACACATGTATCATAACTAATGTGGTGTGTCCTTCTAATGACTTATTGATGTCAAAAGCACAAACTACAGCACCAGTAATGGTATCAATAAATTATACAAAGCCGCTGAACGGCAAGATCGTTCTTCAAAATTGAAGCGTTGGTTGAACCTGAAAAGGCTGGGATGTTGTGTAAAGTAAAAACACAAGGCGGCGTTTGACACATTTTCACATGTTAATTACAGTGGAACACAGCAAACACATTGAATTTTCCGATGGGAACATTTAAGCACTGAGGAGAGTATTGCTTGAGATTTTGGAGGGGACCGTTGTCTGATAGCTCAACAGTCCTGGATCCTGCTTCGACAGGATGAGTTCTTGTTGCTGAGGTCTGGACCAGCAGGCCAGTTCAGCTGGACTCTATACAAAGCCATGCTCAGTTTGGCATTGCTTTGCTGCAATATGCAAGGCCTTCTGTGAAAAGGTGTTGTTTAGATGGAAGCGTGTTCTAAAACCTGCATTTCTCAGCTTTGATTTTTTTTAGCTGCCTGTGCCATAGGCACCAATACAACCCTATACCATCAGAGAGGCAGGCGTTAGAACTGTGTGCTGATTTGGTTTGTGTTTTTCAAAAATAATTTCAAATTTTGATTCATCCGACCATCCTGTAGTTTACAATTTTAAATGAGCTTTGGCTCCAAAAAGACAACATTTCTGGATTTTGTTAGTATATGGCTTTTATTTTGCATGATACAGCTTTAATGAATGACAGGGGTGACTGTGTTTACTTGGAATGATTCGTGGAAACGTTCCTGAGTTCATGCAGTAATGTCTATAACAGAATCAGAATCGTGTTAACACAGTTTTGCCTTTTGACCTTGTCCTTTTAGCACAAGGATTTATAGATTCTTGAAATCCTTCGATGATATTATGAACTAAACGACAGGTTAATCTGTCTTCTAAATGTTTGAATGAAAAACATTATTTTGAGATTGTTCCACTATTTTCAGATGCAGTTTTTTGCAGACTAGTCCTCTTCTTTCAAAAATAAAATAAAATAAAATAAAATAAAATAAAATAAAATAAAATAAAAAATAACCTATTGCAAAATGCTTCTCCAGCTGTTTTTTTATTCATACTTTTACAGCTTTTTTTGTTCTTGTCCTCAGTTATTTTTTAAAGATGTGCCGCAAATATATATAAAAGACAATGATTCCTTAGTTTCAGCATTTGGTATGCTTACTATGTTCCAGTGTGAATAAAATACGAGTTCGTGAATTCTGTGTTTCTTTACATTTTGTAAGTGTTCTCATTTTTTTCTGAATTGGGGTGCTACTTTGAGGCAAAATTTGACAAAAGCAATCTCAGTTGTGAAAGGATTTTTCTTTCCTTGAATGAGGCAAATGTCAGCGTCTGTTCAGAACAGAACAGAGCCATCAGCAGCCACCCGCGAGGAGAAGCTTCGCTTATATATACCCTGTAGAACCGAATGTGTGTGGAGCTGCCTCAGTCACAGATTGGGTTCTAGGGGAGTCTATGGGCGATGACTAGACATCCATCAAAAGCCAGCAGCAGGAAAAGAGGAAGAGGGATGACTGTTTGCTGTGCTTCTGTTTAGCCAAAAGATCACATCCTTCTTCAGCTTCTCTCTTTCATGTTCGAAGGGCTCAGTTTGTTCTTCATTACACGGCCAAGCTTCTGGAAGGGGACAGGAAAGTGAAGCCGATGGTTTTTTTTCTCTCTTCTTTTTCTGCTCCTGATGTGGTCATGGTGGGTCTAAATCACTGCAGCGCGTATACGGTCTGTTCGTTTAAGGCTTGATGAATATGTTTAAACATCAGCGTTGATCTGGGTGCTGGTTGTAAATTAGGGCTAGAGTTAAATGAGCCACGCTGTTTTCTGCACTGGTGGAGTCACTTACGAAGCAGATTGTTAAGTGTTGGGAGAAACATTGTGCTAAGATGAAACTGAATCTTTTCTGAGGATCAAAACAAAATTCTGGTTTATTGTTGACCAATAAATTAGATTAAACCACAAGATGTTTGGATCACGCCAAATTAAAAAAAGCAATATGTATGTATAAAAATATAAATTCAAATTCCAAAAATGAAGTTAGGCCAATTTAAATCTGATCGTCCATTCGTTATGAGCTTGTTTAGACAAATGACTCATTAGATCACATAGATAGCCTTATTAGTTCAACCTTCAAACCCATTTCATCAAAGAGCTCCTTTCATGCTCCAGCCAACTGCAAAAACAACTTCTTCCTCTTCTCTTCATGCAGCAGAAAGTAATGGTTTTTTGTGGCCTTATTGGGAGGGTTTTTGGCTGCAAAATGAGACCCTGCATGCCTGCAT